TTTCCTGCTGGCCAGATCTCGAGTTGCACCAAAAAGACAACAGTCCATGCCAAGACTGGAGCTTTGTGCGGCAGTCACTGGAGCTCAACTTGCGAAGCTGGTAGTCAGTGAGCTCACCTTACCCATCAGGAATACCATCTTGTGGTCCGACTCGACCACTGTTCTGACTTGGCTTAAGTCAGACTCATGTCGATTTAAGGTCTTTGTGGGAACTAGGGTTACTGAAATCCAAGAGCTCACAGATCAGCAGTCATGGAGGTATGTGAGCTCGACCCTCAATCCAGCAGATGATCTGACCAGGGGCAAGACTCAGGTGGAATTAGCACAGCCAAATAGGTGGTGTCAAGGCCCATTCTTTCTGTTACGACCACCACATGAGTGGCCTAAAGCTCCAACAGGGCCAGGTGAAGAAGACCCTAAAGAGCTACGACATTCTTTGCTCTGTCATTTCATCTCAACCTGTTCAGATAGCTCTGTCCCTGAGGCAAGCCACTATGCTACATGGAGTGAATTAGTAGAGGCCACAACATGCACACTCCAGTGTAAAGAAGCAGACAAAGCTGATCAATCTACTGCAAGATCATATCAGCAGGCAGTCTCTCTTCTCACTAAACAGTCCCAACTCGAAAGTTTCCCGGAGGAATACCACCTTCTTAAAGCTAACAAACCGATCCCTTCTAGTAGCCGCCACCTTGTTCTGTGTCCTGAGTTCGACGCCACGGATGAAGTGATTCGGGTAGGCGGGCGTCTCCGCAGAGCAGACGATTTGGATCCAAACTTTAAACACCCGATTGTACTGGATCCGAGCCATGGCATCACCAAACTGTTAATCCAGGATTTTGACCAGAGGTTATGCCACCCTGGACCCATTTTAATTCCAGTTGTCATCACTGAGATAATTGTGTGTGGCTTCATCTCTTGTAGAGACATGTAAGGATTCAGAGAGTTGACACATTATCTGAGCTGCAGCAGTGCAACAAGTGTTACAGCAATTACCAGCAATTTTCTGCTTGATCAGCATGTTTAAGCCAGCCAATCTGGTCAAATTAATAAGTCATCTTTAAATCCACTTCAACATGCAGGTGTCTGTGGAGGTATGAATATCTTGAGTTGTTTGTTTAATGTACTCACAATTTATTATTGCATAATAGTTTACCTGTGTACTTATTTATTTTAGGCTATACTATACATTTTTGCAACCAGTTATTGGTGATGATTTCGGCCTCTGTGCTCGAGGTCTGAGGCTATTAGCCCCGCCCGGCTCGCACTGGCCAGTGGAAAAGCGGCTAATGGAGATATATATCCAGCTGCAGACCCGCAGCACCAGCAGTTTCAGAACCGCAGCCATAGAACCGCAGCCACAGAACCGGAAGTGAGGGGCGGAGTTATTGACAACGAGAGAGCACAGTGAGTAGTCTGTAATGTTTTTTTCTATCATATGTTTAATAATTATCGTATATATTACGTTAAGCATTTATCTGCTAAGTACTTAATGTGTGCTTGGCTTTATTATCTTATATTGAAACTTGAATTTGTTGTCATACTTTATAGTATATAACTTTTTTCTGTGGATGTTTCGATTAATTTTCGGATGCATGCTGTAAATGGGCCTTGTGGTGAAGTTTTGAAGACGTTTATTATTCATAAAAATAAATAGTTTGCTTTAATTCCCTCTGTTATATGCATTGTTTGTGTGTTAATATTACCTTGTAGTTTAGTTATTTTAATCCCATTTGTCATCATTGAGATAATTGTGTGTGGCTTCATCTCTTGTAGAGACATATAAGGATTCAGAGAGTTGACACATTACCTGAGCTGCAGCAGTGCAACAAGTGTTACAGCAATTACCAGCAATTTTCTGCTTGACCAGCATGTTTAAGCCAGCCAAACTGGTCAAATTAATAAGTCATCTTCAAATCCACTTCAACATGCAGTTGTCTGTGGAGGTATGAATATCTTGAGTTGTTTGTTTAATGTACTCACAATTTATTATTGCATAATAGTTTACCTGTGTACTTATTTATTTTAGGCTATACTATATATTTTTGCAACCAGTTATTGGTGTGATTATTTAGTTGTTAAATAAGGAACACGGAAGGTTTTTTTGTGCCATTTACAGGGAGAATATTCTTATTTTTTGTTGTTTTCCAGTACATCTTGTCTTGGGAGCACCCTTTGATTTTACATCTGTAAGTAGTTATCAGTTAACGTAATTGACCTTTATGATGTTGTAGCAGTTTATATTTAAATATTTCTCTATGTGTGTGTCTTCCAGTGTGACATTCCAATCATAAGGAGAAGGTGGACTCCAGATGGTTTTCTCTGAAAGGTACTGGACATTTCCTCCAGCACACCATTACTTTTGCACCCCCTTCTGACCAATTTGAAATTAACCAAGAAACATGTATATTACAGTGCAGAAACCCTACAAGAGGCCCTTCCAATTGGATAACAGGCTACGCTTGTGAGGTATGTCTCAAATCTATCTATCTATCTATCTATATACACACATTAATAAGAAATATTAAAGTTACATTTTCCTTTAGTATTCTGTAATGAAGGAGATCCAGTAATCTCACAGAAGTCACAGACATCTGCTCAGGGGGGCAGTGGAAGAGCCTCTTTTCCTTATAATGGAGGAAGAGGACAAGGAAAAGGCCCTCAACAATCTCCTGGAACAGAAGTTTCCAGAGTGCCCTTCATATTTCATCTTGTGTTCAGGGGAGTTATTTTTGTAGGATTGTCATAACAAAATGGGCCTAAGAGTGAATTGTTCATTTGATACATTTTAATTTGAATTCATGCAAGATTGTCACGACAAAATGTGCCCAAGAGTGAATTGTTCATTTTGTCAATGAAACGAATAACTGTATAGGTCTACAACTAAATTACACAAGATTTATATAATGTTTATAAAATGCTTAATATGTCATTATAAAATGCATACATACATAAAGTATGACGTATCGTGTGTAATAAAAGCAAATGACCCCTTAAAAACCGTAAGCTCCGCCCCTCACTTCCGGTTCTGTGGCTGCGATTATGAAACTGCTGGTGCTGCTGGATACTATTGGCAAAAGGAGGCCCAACCAGCTATTGAGTGCATAGAAATGAACATAATTTTCAGAAACCTGACATTTCTGTTTAAAATATGCTTTTTTTTATTGATCTTACGTAATATTCTAATTTTCTGAGACACTGAATTTTATTATCTGTAAGCCATAATCGTAAAAATGTATGCTCTCGACGGCGGCGCTGTGAACGCACGGTTACCCCTTCCTCCAGCAGCAGTTAAACTGGCCTTTATGTAGGGCTGTTCGATTCAAAAAATTTTGGAATCGAGTCCGATTCCGATTCCTGATTCCTCACTGTTGTTTTTGATTCTTGTTTGTTTTTCTTAGATTGAAGGAATCTATAATCTCACCATGACTGCAGGATAAAGGTCGTAGAAAGTATCCTTCTCATAATATGA